GCATTAAGATTGTGCCTGAAGGTAAAAATAACTTTATGCATTGTAGTCTAAATTCTTTGTTAAATTAAAAATAATGTTAAAAAATTTTGTTTTATATTTTTAATGAACAACTTCTTTATATAAACTTATAAAAATATATGAATATCAATAAATCTTAATTTAAAATATAGCCTTTGATTAGAAAAGATCACAATTAGTTAAATTATTTTACGTTCATTTATTCATTTGTAACAGTTTAAATGTGTTTAATGATAACAGATGTATAATATTAGGCTCGAAGATGTTTTTAGTGTAAATGGTAATAGGTGACTTGAAAAAAATTGTCGCAAATGAAAGAATTGGATTTAGGCCTGATAAAATTAATTGTTGTTGAAATGTAAAAAATTCTGCTCGATGAACAGAAAACTTACTTGCCAGAATTCATTGTCAAGCGGTGTTCATGTCTATTAATTTGATTTTACATTAGACACTTTAGAATAAAGCAAGTTATGAATTTTACTATTTATAGTAACAATTAATAACAGTTTCAATTTTAAATGATTTTAATTTTTTTTTTTTCCAAACATTTTGTTCTTTTTTTTTTAGTTGCCTTTGAATCACTTGATTATTTTGCTTACTGTTGAAACATGGTTTTAATTTTGTAAATTTAGTATAATGTGAAATTTACTTTATTAATCATTAGTCAATAGTTAGAGGGAAGCTGAATTTTAATTAAGCAATGCTGGAAATTAACTTTTAATTCAGGTAAAAGTAATTTTGTTTATTGGTAGCATAAAATCAGTTACTTTTTTTTATTGCATAACTTTTTTACTTTTTTTAACATGCTGCTTTTGAAACACTTCCTCTCTCTCTCTCTCTCTCTCTCTCTCTCTCTCTCTCTCTCTCTCTCTCTCTCTCTCTCTCTCTCTCTCTCTCTCTCTTAGATGAGACTTAAATGACAGTAAGTACAGGGAGAATTGATAAAACTCGTGTAATTACTGAGCTCTTGCGCATTTTTCAATACTACAATTGATAATGACCATTTATAAGATATATTTTACGAGTTGCTATTTAAAGATATAATTCTTTAAATTGTTCAACTATAGTTGTCCCTTGGTTGTTCAAATATTGTAATAAAAAAAATCTTTTTAGTTTCAAGTATTTTACTTTAGGGATCGTCCATATATTACTTAATGCGAAATTAAACTTATAGACAAAAGACATATCTCAAAAGTCGTGTTTCTCTCATAGCCAACTATATGTTGCATGTTCAAAAACTAGAGCATTTCATAGTTTGTTTTTCACAATTGTTAAACATCCTATCAAGGTGAAAAGTGAACACAAATAGTGTTATACTTTCTATTGTTCTTAATTAATTATCTTTAGATTTTTATTTCGAAAATTTACTGTTAAAGGTTGTGAGCATGTGTAAATTTATTTTTTTTTTTTTCCATAGTTTTTGATAAATATATCTGTCATTTAATATAAAATGTGTTTATATGTCTTATATAAAGTCATATTTGTTTATAGCTGTATATATGTTTATATTGAGTTGTTTCTATGTTTTCAAAGTAGTGTGACTTGGTATTATGTTGAGCAAGTTTGATATCCTTGCCAGCCAAACGGTGTACTTATAGCAGAGGTGTGACTTGGCAGCATTTAATGCTAGGCAGTGTTACTGCTTTAAAGCTAGGTTGTGTTATCTAGCCTTTTTAAATTATTCTGAAAACACATAATAATGTCTGTTAATGTTTAGCGTAATGTGTATGAGAGAGTATGCAACCTTAATCTTTAAATCTAGCGTGCTTTAATGTCCTAAATTTGAAATAATTGAATAACTAATATTGAATATAAAAACAAATAAACTTTATTTAAAGTTTAATAAAAAGATAAATATAACTCTAAAATAATTTTTTAATTTTGCCTTTCATATTTTAATTTAGTTTGTTATTTTCACTGGATTTTATTGCTATGTGTTATTGTTGTGATGTTTTGTGTTGATAGACAGCTTGGCTTACCTTCCCGTTGGCGTCTATTGTTAAAAATGAATCATAGGTAGTTTCATTATTGGAATTTACTGCTTTTATTTATTTACTAAAAACGAAGACAATATTTTGCTAAAAGTGCAATTTAAATCTTAGTTTGATTTTTTTTTTGTTAATCCTTTTGTACTTCAAAACAGATTTTATAGTTACATTTTTGATAAAAGTTTATATTAACTGCAATTAAAGTAACTATAAATAGGTAAATCGATTTTCAATTTATATGAAATCGATTTACCAATTTATAGTTACTTCTTTTGAAAATTGGTGTTTTTTTTTTGTTTTTGTTTTTTTTGTAATTATGATGTAATTCCATTACTTTTTATTTTAGATTTACGTTATGACACATAAGATTTATAAAAAAAACCTGATTTCCTTTTATTGTAAGTTTTTGTTAGTTAAAAAGATATAAATATATGCAATTAGTTCAGTTTTTTTTTTAATTTTATGCCTAATAATTTGTTGTACGTATCTTAGGGGATCTTTGTAAACGGGGGTCGTAACTAAAAACTTTTAAAAGCATGGAGAATACTGTAGTTTTGCGCATTTGTCAAATATTGATTTACTTATGTTTTATTTACATATTTAACTAATTAGTTAGCTTTATCTGCATTTGCAACACTTTATTAAGAGTAATCAAGTTTTTCTTTAACTAAAATAGTAAAAATGTTAATCATTATTTTACATTTTTACTATTTTAGTTAAAGAAAAACTTGATTACTCTTAATAAAAAAAACCCTACTCACCAGGCCACCATTAAAGCAAGAAGAGGAGAGGAACCTCTTTACTTGTGTTAAAATATTTAGGAAAATTAAATTTTGAGTAACAAAGGGAATTTTTAGTAAAGATAGCAAGTGACCGTTTACTAAAAATTAATGAAATAAACAGGCCAAACAAATAATATAGAAATGGTCTATGTTGAACAGACTTAACAAGTCCCGGGTCCGGTCATAGTAGGTATTACTAGTGACTTTCCCATGGACTGAATAAATAGTTTATACGAGAGATCAGTAGTGAAATATTAAAAAGACGTAGAGGACTTAAGCTGAAAAGAAAGTATATAGTATTTATACGGCCAGCCAACTTCAAACCTTAGCTGACTTCGAACCTACACTTAATTTTACTTAATGACATTTATTTGGATTTATGGACGTTTAAAAAAAATTTTACTAATCTATGGGCTATGTAAAACAACAATGACATTAATTTTAGTTCAGCTAGTGGCATGTACGCAATCAAAATTTAAAATATTTATTGAATCGCAATCAAATTTTGTTATTTATGTGCCCCAAGAAGTCCTAACAGTCTTGTCACAGAGCACCGCGGAAATGGATTTAACCAGGAAGTTCACGCGCCTTTCCTTACTGTGACACGAAATGTATTAAAGGCTCATTTCAAACCCTGATCCCCGGCTTATAAAGCAAGCGCTCTAACCACTAATATATAAATATACCTGGTTTATTTGCACCATGAATCAGTATTATTAACCAGGTTGCCAAAATCGGAACCTTAGTTCCATTTAAGTTAAGGAATAAAAAGCGCCTACTTTGTACCTTATTAAAATTTTAAGCCTTGGAACAAAGATTTCTTTATAAGGTGTTGGCGAATGATTTAAAAGTTTTGAAAATTATAAGCTACTTTCAATATTAAAAAAAAAAATTTATGGGATACGATAAAAAGTTGAATTGTGTTATTAGTAACATAATGTTACCAAATAGAAATAGTTAATGTACTAACTTTATCAAATTAAACAATGCATTAGCAAAAATAATGTTGCAATTAAATAAGCAATTAATATAAACTTATTTCAAACAATTGTAGGCTAGACTAGGGTAATTCTATCCCCGGGGAAATTCCACCCTCTAAAAAGATATGGAGCAATACAAATAAACTAAAAAAACTTGAACCACTTTTAGTTCATGTTTTTAATTGCCAACTTTCTCACTAAGTATATGCTTCCTGTATCCATACTGATTTAGAAATTTGTTTATGAAACTTTTTTTGAAAATCCAAAATCATCTTCAATCTAAGTACCATATATGTACTTTAAAATACAATTTAAAATATATTTTTTATTGATCATCATACTTTTATTATTCATCATTTATTTTTTGGATGTGTTTAATGTGTACAGAGATGATAAAATTTTTAATTTCACAATTTAAACCTTTGCTTGTAAATATCCTTAGGCAACATGTTAATTTAGTAGTATTAATATCTGTATATGGTATTAGATATATAATTATTCAGAATTTCAACCAAATAAGACAATTTTAGTCATGGGTCAAATCTCACACCTTTTTATGAAAAATTTGGGAAGCGGCAAATGGAGACGAGAGGAAAGGCCATAAAAAGACAGTGTGGTGAAAGCCTCACTTCAGATAAATGCATTGCTAGGCTTACTAAAGAAAATTAGGCTAAAACCAAGCCAAAAATTGTCTTCAATTCAGGTAAAGGGAAGGGAAAAGACATGAAAAAAATAACAATGAGTGATGCCGCAGACAAACCAATTTTATGCACAATGTGTGGGGTAAATGTGGATGACCCTAAAGTTTGCGATCTGAATGTTATGTATGACCTCCCAGCTAACACAAAACGTTCAAGTACGTTCGAATTTTTTATAAATTACCCCTATTTTGTTTTATAAAAAAATATTAAAATGTTTTTTTGTTAAAATTTTATATCAACAGTTTGCTTAAATATGTAAATAAAAGGAATTCTTTTACTGTTCTCTTGTTTTTTATTTTACATAGTGGTTTTTAAGGATTTTGTAGAAGTAGTGGATGGATCCAGTATACCCTACCAAGCAACTTTGTTTGATATTATTTTATCCCTTTTGTATTACACTATATGTAACATCTGAAAAAACAAAAATAAAATTTTTTAATTTAATTTGATTCACTTACAAGTTAAAAACCTATTTTTAATTGAATATGGTTTGGGACTTTTATTATTACTTGATGTTAGAGCAAAGTAAAGTAAATGCAAATTTTATACTTTAATATTTAATTTAATATTACATTACTTCCATGTGATTGTGCCCATCAAGACATCAGGGTTGCATACTTCAAAAAAGCTTTTGAGAAATTGCATTAATTGACCCTTAAGCCTGAGATGAGGGTCAGTTTTATCTGTCCTTTATATGGTTGGCTGATCTGCTTTGAACAAAACATCTTTTTTATCACAAAAAAAAAAAAAAAAAAAAAAAATTAAAAACATAAATTAAAACATATTAAAATATAATTAAAACATACTTTTAATAAAATATAAAGCTATATAAAATTATATCTTTGTACAGACTTACACATAAATCAAAACTTACATATAAATATATATATATATATATATATATATATATATATATATATATATATATATATATATATATATATATATATATATATATATATATATATTTATATATACATATATAGGGGTGATTGATCTTTCCTATATTTAAATATATGCATTCAAATTATAGCTTATTTAATAATGTATGTTGTTCTCCTTTCAAATTAAAATTTGTAAAAATAAAACTTTAAAATCACATAATTGGTTACTAGTTTGAGCTTAAAAGCCATAAAAAAAAATTGTAAACTAAATGTTTTACATATCTATCTGAACTCATAACTTCAAAACAAAGCAGAAGATCAACAGATAGTAAGTTTGTTTGGTTTAAAATCTGAACCTTGCTTGACATAAAGTATTGGATCATATCTGCAACTTGTATTTGGAACAGCAATCTATATTAAACAAAAAGTTGACCATTTTCAGGTGCTTGCTTGACTGAACTTTAAATGATCTTAAATTACTTTATCACAATTGCTATTGGCGTTGAACTAAATTTCCATTTCCAAATTCATATACTTGTTTATAGTAAATGAACAACAACAGAACATAAATCTATACATACACTATTTTGCAAACTTTTTATTTTAAGCTTCGTAAAAAGTAGATTTGTTAACTTAACTTGCTATAAAACTGTATACTTTTTATAAACTTTTTTCATGCCAATTTAGATGAGAAACATTGTAAAAAATGATCAAACCATGTTACGTAAAAAGACACACAAAAATATTATCGAAAACATGATGCATATATTTCTTTAATTTGAAAATCTTTAGTTTTCTTTTCTTGCACACAAAAACTTTAATACTCTTTGAAAAAAAATGTTCTTCAAAAATACACCAGAATTCAATATGGTATTTTCATTTGTTTATACCCTGTGTATAATAGGTTGATTTTTAAATTGGCTAAAATATAAACCATCACCATAGCTTTAGAGATAGCAATTACAATTGTATAAACCTGGATAATATAATGGTATTATGATTTTATTATTTATGATATTGTAGGTGTTTTTATTGTTATTATTTTTATTATTATTACTGTTATTATAAAATAAATGTTGCTCCTATTGCTCTTATTTGATGTTGTTGTTTGCATAAAGTTTCTTATCATAGTAGAAGCACTAAGATTAAAAAATAAAGATAAAACTCAAGAATATGCTTGTTATAACTTTACTAGACATTTCATGCATGTTACACTCAAAATTTTTGTTTTAGAAATAATTCCTTAGCCATCCTCACAAAATGACTAATAAACAAACCAACTACAGTAAACAGGGCTGTACTGGGGGTGGTCAAGCGGCCCGGGACTGTAAACCAAGCGGTCCGGCCCTTATACAGCAATACTAAATCATTAAGGGGCGGGGGAGGATGAGGGGGGGGGGTTCAGCTGAGATTTTCCGACTTGCATAGCAATAGCAAAAAAATTCGTATCATGTTCAGGAGTTAGAAAAATTACGGCGACATTTTTAAGGCCTACAAATTGTAGACTGCTTCACATTTTTATTCTTGCATAATATATATTTATATATATATCTATATAGGTATATAGCTACCATTTACCATACAGATATAATATAGAAGTTTCAATATGTTTTAATAGGTAGTCGAAAATATCGCTCGAAAAGTCACAACTTTACTATAATGTGCAAGCTCTCTGCTCTACTACAAAACAATTATTTGACTAAGTTGCACAAAAACATCTGATAATCGACTTTGATGTTTTAACAGTAATATTTATAGCACGTACCTTATACATGGTATAGTTAGTGCAAAACTGCATTCGACCAATAGAATCTGTATTGCAATCATAAAAGGTATACATGCTGTCTCCAGAATTCTGTGGTTATAATGTGTTGCACTCGATATTAACAAAAAAAATAACCCATCAATTATGATTTGGTAACGTCCGTAATAACATAATGTTTCTGACGCCATATTATCGAAACTTACCGAATGTGGATGGTAGTGGATCAAAGGAACAGATGTGTTTTTAGCCCAGGTGCGATTTCTGCAACCGAGTCGATGATGTCTTTGTTGGACAGCCCAACCATAACATCTACTTCGACAGACATCAGCATGAAAGCTTCTAAATGCGTGGACGACATTGAACTTCGCAGTCTTTTTTTAATGTATTTTAATTTGGAAAAGGACCGTTCACACGCAACTTGAGTAGACGATAAAGTCAGCAAGAGCTTATAAGCATTGTACAAATGGGTGTAGGCTTTGCTGTAGAAATTGTATTTGTGTAAAACCGTGAAGCAACAGACGGGGCAATTTTTGCAACTCTTGCATTTACCATGAGCTTCTTTGTCTTCAGAAAACGAAGAAGAAACTGCAGTTTCCTCGTCGTTCTCCAATTCATCGTTGTCGTTTCGGTTTTCCGCTAAGTGCATGCCCAAATACTCTTAAGGAACGGTCTTCTTAAATTTGCTCTACTTGAGCGAAAAGTCGATGAGTTCGGATTGTAAATTTAAAGCTGCTGCATCTTTAAAAAATTTTGTTAGAATGCTGCTGAGACGTACTAAGGCAGTAGGTTGGATACCGTTTTTCTTGATATCGTAGAAATTTTCCGGATTCAAGCACGCCATGTCAGCGAACAACGTGTCTTGAGCTTTAAAGCGTTCTTCCAAAGTTTTTACTACTTTGTCCATAACGCAGTTGTGTACCGTTATCTTGTAGCAATCATTTGCGCGATCTCCGACAGCCTCGTGAGTGTGTCGCTCACCACTCATTGCTTTTGGGACGCGAACTCGTTTCTCTGGCAATGCAGCTTCAACCGTCACATCAATTTTCAGATCTTCCAATGAGTTGTTGGCCCACTCGACAAATTTTTTAGCGCTCGCATTAATGCCATCAAAGTCTCTGGACACGTCTCGCAGTGCCTTGATAGTGCAGTCAACGTTTCGGTAGGCTTGGAGCACGTCCATCCCACTTGTCTGCAGGTACTTGGAAAGTTATGCTGTGTGTTGGAATATACGCGAAAAAAAATTGAACGGTAAGAATTGTTTCAAATGAGATGCACTTATCTAATAGGGTTTGGACGGTGTCGCGAACAGTTGGGTTAAAGTCTTCAGAGGAGGCTAACTCTTGTAAAGTTTCAATTAGCTCAATATACAAGGACGTCGATGGGTTGTTGAAGCTTCCAAATATTTTTTTTAATGCATGGTCCTTTGCCCACCAGCGTGTATCGCCAATTACATTTAGTCTTCTATTGTTTGATTGTTTTGACGTCCATATGTCCATTCGTATATATGATTCGCGCAAGAAAACAGCACATTTGTTTATAAGTTGAAATATACTGATAGCAGCTTTGGTGGTTTGTGTGGTATCAACAAGAACAAGATTCAATACATGAGCGTAACACCACACATGCACTTGGTTTGGGGATGCCTCACTGAGCCATTTTGTGATACCGGAATATTGGCCCTACATGTTTGCCGCCCCGTCTGTAGAGTATCCCACACAGTTTTCAATGTTTATGCCCATTTTGACAATTTCATCCCGGAACAACTCGAACATACCCTTGCCTGTCGAATTAGTACAATTGCTGACGGATACCAGTCGCTCGTAAATATGGTCTTTAACATATCGGATTACAATCGAGCATTGATCTTTTACGCTAACATCTTGCGTTGTGTCCAGTTGCACAGAGAACATTCCTGCCGATTGAATCTCATCTGCAATCATTGCCTTAATCATACGGCGAACAGATTCAATTACATAATTGACAGTAGTGCTTGAAATAAATGTTACTAACCCTCCTTGTCCCTTCGTTCCTGATGCTGCGCACGTGACATGTCGTTGCTTACTTTTCTCCGTCACGATGTCAAGATGATTTTTCATAAGCGGGTCAAATTTAGACAGAAAGATTAAAATTTCTAAAAAGTTCCCGTGGTCAATATTGACATTGTCCAGACAGTAGGCTGCGTCATTGATAGATCTGTAACTAAGTCCTCGCTTTCCAATAAGTTTAACAATTTCTATCACACGTTCTAGAACTTGCCGTTTTTCTTTAACTTGAGCAGCTCTCACATTTTTTTGATTTGAAAAAAGCAAGCTATACACGTCCTTGTCATTGCTCGACATAATGTGTGCCTCTACACTCCTGCAATGGTGTTTACTCGATTCGTGTTCTTCAATTCGTTGGTGAACATGCTTCCAATCATTCATGCCATCAGTAAATGAATTGGGTTCACTAGCTTTGCTGTAGGCCAGACACACTGTGCAAAACATGGCCTTCGAACTGTGACAGTAAGAAAGCCAAACCCTATTGATATCGTCTTGGCTTCTATAAAACACTCAACGAACATTTGAAAATGGTAAATTTTCCCCATCCTCTTTTGGTTGAACCGGATGACTCTTAAAAAATGATTCAAGGCACTGCGATTGTGGACGCATGAAAATTTCCGAACACTGATTCTGTGGCCGGGAGTCAGAGGATACAGATTTTTGGGATGGAGTTAGCACAGTGCAGCTCACGGAGGCTGAGACGGCAGGACCGGCTTGATCGCCGTCAGAAATTTGAAAACCTAAATCATCAACCAGAGTATCACCACCAAACTGGGTGGGGGTACTTAGTCTAAAAAGTTCGGTTATCTTTTTACACTTTTCTCCCCCTTGAAGAAGAAGCTTTTGTTTCTTTTCACGTTGCTTGTCTGCCCCGCTTCAAATCTTCACTCATCTTATCAAATATATACGTAAGGAGAAGACTATAATATTAGAGGCCCATTTAAGTTTACATTTTAACTTTATAACTATTTTGCGGACAAACATGGAAATATACATAAAATGAAATGTTCTCAAAACGACTAAAAAATCTGGCCAGTTTTTCGCAACTAAATATTATTTCCGTGGTCAACGATCGCTCCGATCGCTCCCGCTTCCCGAAAACGCTATCATCAACTTTTCACTTTATGCTACACGTAGTTTCACACACTGTTTTCAAATGCCGTTTTCACCGTTACACGACCTGTCACTTCAAAAGATTCACTTCACAAAATGCAATCATTAAAAATACGAAATATCTCACTGCGGATGGTATCGCATAATTATCGCTAGCCATAAATCACGTTTGAAGTCAAAAGCAAATCAAAACAACCTGCTAAAAACCAGGCGGCCCACCGGAAATAGTCCCGGTGTCCCGGCGGCCCAGTCCAGCCCTGACAGTAAACATGTTATGATTTAGTTTTCTTTATTATCAAAATATCTTAACAATCGCGGTTCACTTTGATATTATGATCACAAATAATATTCTAATATCATGATTTAAATATAAATTGTATAAAAACATTTGTATTATAGTGTAAAATCATGTTTCACAAATTTTGTATTGAGTTACTATTTGATAAAAACATTTTACCACGCATGACCAATAATTAAATATTCTCATAAAACCATTGCATAAAACAAATAATTTAACAATGCTTTTTGCATCTTAAATACTTAATTATTCGCCAAAAAATAAACATTTCGTCACCTAACTTTACACTATGGAATCATGTTTCTACCCGGTAAGCAATATATAATAGAAGCCTCGTTTTCAAATTATAAACGGTTGCCGTAAATTTTGTTTCTGTACTTTTGGCTTTTAAAACCGAGTTTTTTTACCGAGATAAAATTTATGATTAGCGATATAAAATAATTAGCAGGGATACAACTCGTGTTGTAATATCGAATTCTATCGCATTATTTTAATTGTTGATATCTTTTAGATATCGCTATAATACAGCGATATTTATATGTTATATAAAACAGAGACAAGTCATATGGAAAATTATATTATTTATATTTTTAATAGCAGTACTATTGGCTTCTATTATATTATTTATATTTTTAATAGCTGTACTTTTTGCTTCTATTATATTATTTATATTTTTAATAGCTGTACTTTTGGCTTCTATTTCATGATTTGTACTTTTGACGGCTGTACTTTTGGTTTCTATTATATTATTTATATTTTTAATAGCTGTACTTTTGACTTCTATTACATGATTTGTACTTTTGATGGCTGTACTTTTGGCTGCTATTATATGATTTTTATTTGTAATAGCTGTACTTTTGACTTCTATTACATGATTTATATTTTGGATGGCTGAACTTATGGCTTCTATTATATGATCTGAATATTTAATAGCTGTACTTTTGACTTGAATTACATAATTTGTATTTTTAATAGCTGTACTTTTGACTTCTATTACATGATTTGTACTTTTGATGGCTTTACTTTTGGCTTCTATTATATGATTTGTATTTTTAAATAGCTGTACTTTTGACTTCTATTACATGATTTGTACTTTTGATGGCTGTACTTTTGGCTTCTATTAAATGATTTGTATTTTTAAATAGCTGTACTTTTGACTTCTATTACATGATTTGTACTTTTGATGGCTGTACTTTTAGCTGCCATTATATGATTTTTATTTTTAATAGCTGTACTCTGGACTTCTATTTTGATATGTATTTTTAATAGCTGTACTTTTGACTTTTATTACATGATTTATACTTTTGATGGCTGTACTTTTGGCTTCTATTTAATGATTTGTACTTTTGACTGTTTTACTTTTGACTTGAATTACATGATTTGTATTTTTAATAGCTGTACTTTTGACTTTTATTACATGATTTATACTTTTGATGGCTGTACTTTTGGCTTCTGTTTAATGATTTGTACTTTTGACAGCTGTACTTTTGCCTATTATTATACTGTTTATATTTTTAATAGCTGTACTTTTGACTTCTATTACATGATTTGTACTTTTGATGGCTGTACTTTTAGCTACTATTATATGATTTTTATTTTTATTAGCTGTACTTTGGACTTCTATTTTGATATGTATTTTTAATAGCTGTACTTTTGACTTTTATTACATGATTTATACTTTTGATGGCTGTACTTTTGGCTTCTATTTAATGATTTGTACTTTTGGCAGCTGTACTTTTGCCTATTATTATATTGTTTATATTTCTAATAACTTTTTTTTTTTTTTTTTTTTTTTAACATCTTCACTTCCAACAAGGCTGCAAGCAACCACTATAAGAGTTGGAAGTTACTGGAAGAGAAAAGACTAAATCTGTAGAGCAAGATAACGATTGACTGATGACTTAAAAGATTGCAAATTATATGAATCAGGAAAGCAAGATGAAGGAAGCGAATTCCAAAGAACTGATGTTCGAGGAAAAAAACTAGAAGAATAAGAGTTTTTGAAGCACTTAGGAACAGTCACAGAAAAAGGACGAGACTTAATTGAATGGCGAGTAACACGAGAATGAATTTTAGTAGATGGCACAAGGGACGCTAGCTCTTTAGAGCAGTGCCTATTATAGTACTTGTAGAAAAGAGAAAGAGAAGCACGATTCCGACGATGTGACAAAGGTTGGAGATTGGCTGCCAGAGCAGGTCCAACTATGTTTACAATTCGTTTTTGCACCTTGTCTAAAAGAGAAAGAGCATCATTAGAAGATCCGCCCCAGATGTGGCAACAGTATTCCATACAGGGACGGATTTGAGATTTATAGAGATAGAGAATAGAATCTGGAGTAAGAAAGTGTCGAGCTCGATAAAGAGATGCAACCTTAGCAGATGCTAATTTTGCAATAGATTTGATATACGGTTTAAAAGAAAGATCAGAAGTAAGAGTTAATCCTAGAAGATGAATGGTAGATGACTCATCTAGTACATTACCATTCATAAATATAGGAAGATCTAAATTATTACGATAACGATTGGCCGAATAAAATTGAGTTTTATCTGAATTAAAGTTCACCAGCCACTGTGAGTCCCATGCTGTAGCAGAAGTGAGATCCTTTTCAAGCTCAGATACCCCCTCCAAGCAATCAGAGAGTGTAGGCTTCTTATCATGACAAGAGTAAATGGTAGTGTCGTCGGCGAATAATGCCACCTTAGATGTGAGAATATCTGGAAGATCGTTAATGTAAATTAAAAAGAGTATAGGGCCAAGGATTGAACCTTGAGGAACCCCTGAAGTTACAGGATGTGAAGAAGAGTGTTGTCCATCGAGGACAACTTTTATACTACGATTGGAAAGAAAGGACTCAATAATCTTAAAGACGTTACCAGCTACACCATAAGAAAAAAGCTTATGGAGAAGACCAGCATGCCAAACTTTATCAAAAGCTTTAGAAATGTCAAGTGCGATAGCCTTAACCTCTCCACCTCTATCTAATGCACGGTAAAACCTATCGGTTATTACTGTTAGCACATCAGCTGTAGAACGAGAAGACCGAAATCCATATTGATGATCAGAAAGTAAGTTATTTGATTCAAGATGAGAGATTAAGTGTTTGTTGATTAAAGATTCAAAAACCTTGCTTATGACAGGAAGAAGACTAATGGGACGGTAGTTAGATGAATCAGATCGCTCTCCGGAATTTTTGAAAATAGGGATAACAGATGCTGCTTTCCAGCATGATGGAAAACAAGACTCTGATAAGCACTTGTTAAATAGTTTAGAGAGTATGGATGAAAGCTCAGGAGAACACCTCTGCAAGACTACAACAGGAATGTTGTCAGGACCACAAGCTGTTGAAGAGTCTAAGCAGGAAATTACTTTAGATACAGAAGCTGAAGTGATGCGAATATCAAGCAAGGGATCAACCTGTTTGACGGCTATGTCAGGTAAAACGCAACTAGTGGAATCAAGAGATGATATTGATGAAAAGTTCTTAGCAAACAATTCAGCTTTGTCTTTAGGTGAGGTGACAAAGTCTGAACCATACAAGAGAGAAGGAATAACAGATTTGCCCTTATTATTGATACTGTTAAAGATTCTCCAGAAGTCTCGAGAGCCTAATTTTTGTGATGAGATACGAGATTTAATGACCTGGAATAGCGAGCTTTGGCGTCAGACAAAACCTTTTTACAATGGTTTCTGGCGATAGTGAACAGATGTCTGTTTTTTGGAGAATTGTTTTGCTGATAGATATGGAAGTAACAGTTTCGATTAGAAATTGCTGCAGCGCAATGTGAGGAAAACCAAGGAGAAGAGTGAGGCTTGACCTGGAATCGTCGAGAGGGAATAAAAGATTCCATGCCAGCCTGAATCCACGAAGTTATGTAAGAAGCACATTTGTCAGCAGGAAGACGAAAGATTTCTACCCAAGGGCCATCACGAAGAAAATCACGGAAAGAGTCCCAGTCAGCTTTAAGGTAGTTGTATGTGGTACGATGATAGGGGGATTCTGATGAAGTAGAAGAATTTGATAATAGTTTTAGA